TTTTTTTTTTTTTTTTTTGCTTGGGGCAGCAAAAAAGCCTGTGAGGGGGCAAGGGAAAGAACCCCAATTAGTCATACTCCAAACTTGGGAGTGATTAACTAATTGCCTCCTGGCCAGAGGAAGCAGAGCAAGGGTGCTCAGGTGGGGACAGACTACAGTGGCCACCGGTTTCTGATCAAGCAAAGCCCTAGCAGCAGGGTTAACAGACAGGAAGCACCAGAGGAAGAACTCTACAGGAGTGGGTTAGGCCTCTGCAGGAGAAGTCCTGAGGCAGGGCCAGCAAGGGAACTACAGTGGATCCTGAGGCTGCAGAAGAGGTATTAGTTTGAAGATCTGATTGGACTTTCATTTGGACTTCTTCATGTTATCCCTGAAAGGGGTTTAAATTTCCATGTGCCTTGGTCAGATGGCCATGCCACAGCGTACCCAGAAGGGGCGAAGAGGAAGCCTGAGAAAGGCCATTGAAGGGCAGGAAGTGAGCCCAGTAGGTGAGGCCAGAGACAAGGACCCTGTGCAAGGCAGCATGAGGGGTGCCCACTAGGTGAGTATGTGCTACTAGTACTACACTGCCCCTGAATCCTTCTCCACTCTCCATACCAATACTTTACCTGCCTCTTTCATTTTCTTTTTTGTGCTCTGTCTCATACCTTCACCCATACTATTTCACTCAATCTCTCTCCCTCTCAGCCACTTCCTTTTTCACCCCTCTTTCTCTCCGCAGCTCCCTGGGTTTGAGTGTGGTGGTCTTGCCTCGTTCCCTCCAGGTTACTGTGAGTTCTGTATCTGATGGGACGTTTTATCTTCACTTGTCCTCTGGACACTTTCAGGGGAGCATGTGCTTGTTAGGGAAGCCTCGGCTGTCACAGCTTTTCTCTCCATCCCTGCCAAATCGCAGAGAGAAACACATATTAATAAAGAGCTGTAGAACAACTTCTCATCACTATCCGCATGGCAGTGGCCAGCGGAAGCTAGTGGGCCATTGTGCTAGGTGCTATACTGACACAGACTACAAAGATGTTCCCTCTCCAAAAGCACTTAAAATCTAAACATTTAAAAGACAAAACTCTAAAGATTAAGTTCTTACTGGCCGTGAAAAACGCATCACGGGCTGTGAAATCCCTTCTTCCCCATGAAATCTGGTCTTCTGTATAGTATAGGGTAAAAGTACACCAATTTTACAGGGGAGACCAACGTTGCTCAAACTAGAGGTCCCAACCAAAAAGAGGATGGGGGGGGGGGAGGGGTCACAGTATTGCCACCCTTACTTCTGCCCTGCCTTCAGAGCTGAGTGGTCGAAGAGCAGCAGCTGCTGGCCAGGTACCCAGCTCTGAAGGCATCACCCCATCAGCAGCAGCGCAGAAGTAAGGGTGGCAATACCAAAACCCCCCTACACTAACCTTGTGATCCCTCCACTCCCCCTTTTGGGTTAGGACACTTGCAGTTACAACACCATGAAATTTCAGATTTAAATATCTGAAATCATGAAATTTATGATTTTTAAAATCCCATGCCCATGAAATTGACCAAAATGGGACCGTGAATTTGGTAGGGCCCTACCTGTGGGGTTTACACAGCCAGTGCCTGTTGTGCTCTGTGGAACAACTATTATTTGCATTGCCATAGTGTCCAGGAGACCCAGCCACAGATCAGGACCCCCCTGTGCTAGGAGCTGTACAAGCACAGAACAAAAGGTCCCTGCCTCAAAGAGCTTACAGTGGACCAAATTCTGCAGCAGAACTCCCAAATTCCACCAACAGGGTGAATTCCTTGGAAAATTCTATGGCTGCTGAAACAGTCCACAGGGTCCTGATTGAGATGAATGGGACAGATCACACCTCTCTCAGCCATTTTTCCTCAAAGCCATTGTTTCAGGCTCTCTGCAGACTCAGGTAGGTGACACTGCATCTGTTTCCATTTTCTCCATCATCATAAAGCCTATAAACATATCTGTTCCAACAGGAAAATTCAGATTATGAAGAACAGTTTTGGGGCAAGGACTCAGTTCCCCAGCAAACCCCGCAGCCATGGAATTGTGGAATACCCTAGACCCTGTGTCTAGGTGTAGCTGAAGGCAGAATTTGGGCCAGCCCAGGTTCCGCCTTCACATATTACCAGCCCAGCTAACATAGCCTCCTTCCCTGCACACAGTCCTTCCACTCCACACCTCTGCCTGCTTCTCACTACTCCTTCACAGCCCCACGCTGCCCCCACCACAGTCCTTGACTTTCCCCTACCCTTCAGCTCCTGACACCAGACCTAAATGAATTTATAATCTACATATGAGTCAGAAAAGTGGGGGACGGGAAACTGAAACACAGAGAGATGAAGTGACTTGCAGGTCAGTGGCAGAGCCAGAAGTAGAGCTTAGGTTTCCTGTATGTGTCAGGCCAGTTTCCTATCCTCTGGACCCAACTGTCTCTCTCTAGATACCGCAGGAGTGACTTGAATG